CTAGCATGAATTTCTTTTTCTTTCTTTACAGTTTCACAGATAGATTTGTTCCTAGCGTAGATCTTAGCAACCTCAGCATATGCTTTCCTTTTCCTTATTAAATCAAGAACATTCACCTTTTCATTTAAAGGAAGCACTTTACAGCTTTCTTTGGCTTATTTGAATTACCAGCATCACTACTCTTGTGCTTTGGGGCCATTATTAAGTAAAATAAGGGTGACTTGGACACAAGCAGTGTGATACTGTGACAGTGGATCTGATAACTGAGATGGCTACTAAATGACTAATGGACAGGATACACTGGACAGAGGGATGATTCACATCCCAGTCAGTGCAGAACGGGATGGCAATTGATTTTACCATGCTACTCAGAATGGTGTGCAATTTAAACAACTTATAAGTTATTTATTTTTGGAATTTTCCATTTAATATTTTCAGACCATGATTGACCCTGTGGGTAACAGAAACCTTGGGTAAGGGGACAGTACTGCACTGGCATCATAAAATCTTGAGAGTTGGAAGAGATATTTGGTTCTTGAATGAATAACTCTGGTAGAGAAAAAGATTGAGTTGCATAACTTGCTGAGATTTGCACATCAACTCCCTTACACATTTATCTGTTGAGTGGAAATAATAAGATACTGTCATTAGACATATGTATGGACTTAAGTGTATCATCCACTTTACATATATTAACTCATTAATTCTCACAGCAAGGCTATCAGGTGCTATTATTACACACATAGATGAGAAACAGATGAGACACAGAGTTTAAGTAACTGACCAATTTCAAACAAGTAATAAATGGTAGGTCTGAGACTGGAACCCAGGAAGTTTGTTGTCAGATCCCTATGGCCAACCACAGTGGCAAACTATGACCCTTAGGCCAAATCTGGCCCATGGCTGTTTTTGTACAGCCAGCCAGAAAACTAAGGATTATTATTATTTTTTTATTTAAAAAAAGTTTTAAAGAAGAAAGAAAAATGGAGAATCATGGCAGAGATTGTATGTAGACCACAAAGCCTAAAATATTTACTATGTGACCTTTTACAGTGAAAGTTTGCTGGCCCCTATACTAACCATTCCTAGGAAAATGCGTTCCTTGAATAGAAAGTTGAGCACCACTGATCCTTACAGATGAAGGACATGTCTTTCATAAAATGAGTTATTGCAGAGTAGAGTATATACTCAGAGCTCCTTCTGTGGTAGAATTATTTTTCTTGATTTTTGCAAATTTAAAATTAAGACTGGGTGTAGGG